ACCGCCAAAGCCAAAGTGCCCCCCATGGTAGTACCCCATGTATTTCCTTCTAGCACTGTCCACAAGTGACATTTCTCCAGTTTAACTCATGGTCTGTATACTGTGTGTCTTTCTCACATTGTGATGTGAGTGCTCTGCCCTTGTGTCCCAGCAATGAGACTGTAGTCTAGCTCATCATAGATGCTCAACTAATAGTTGTTGGGTCAGTAGATGGATGGAGACCTAGCAGGCCAGCATTCCTGAAGTGCCCCATTGTTATCACACATTTCAGCTGGGGCTTGGAAACGACATAAGGTTAGAGAGCAGAGTCTCTGCCTGACATTGACACAGATTCGAATTCTGCAGCCTGATCCAAGGCACTCGAGTGTCTCTGTAATGAGGGAACAGAAATTGAACAGAATCTCTGTGGCTCCAACGAGGAGCAAAGTAACCAGGACCACCTTGGACGTATCTAAGAATATACGCTCACTCGTATACATGCAGGACACTTGCATACAGGCAAGCCCTCAGCCCAAAGTCTTCAAGAATCCCAACCATGGTACAAGGCAAGAGCTACAGATAGTAAAGTATATAATCAAATGTGCATCAATGCATTGACGGGTGAGCTGTCATTTCTTATGCAAGTGACTCTGTCAGCAGAAGCTGGAGGCAACTGCTATAACAGGCTGGGACACATGGCAGGTGGCAGATGAGGCCAGCAGAGCAAAGGACTGTGCACTTTTGCGCCCTTGGTCTTCCACATCCCAGGCCATGCTTTCCTGGGCTTGCTGCAGGGTCTGCAGCTTCCTTAAAGCCAGGCCTTCATCTCACTGTGACTTTAGTGAAGTGGGGCCAGGTAGTGAGAATTCAGCCCCAGAGCCTTTTCTGGGAGACCTGGGACCTGCAAGAGAAAGGTTTAGTAGGTTCCCCTGATGGAGGTCTGGAGTGGGACCTCTCAGGACTGCGGAAGGGAGAGCAGGGTTCTGCTCAGTTACCATGCTGAAAACATGCTCTCAAACACAGAAATGCTGCACATGTGCAGCAGTAGCATCCCAAAGTGGGAATGTGAACGGGGTTGCCCATTCTTCTTTCTCTGGCTGTGTTGGGATGGGACTCAGCCTCCTCTAGCGCCCTCCTCTGGGGGCAATCAAGCTGAATTCCATCATTGCTTAGCTGACTGCGTTTCCGAAGCTCTGAGTTTATGGCAACCCCGGGCCTGTGCGTTCATATGGAGAGTCCTCTCTTGAATTGCACTGGGAGTCTTTGACACTGACTAGTACAAATGGACTCGTTTCTCTTGGCACCATAACTTTAATGGGACAATTCCCAGTTCTGACCATGTTCAGTGAATTTAATTAGTGTTGAAAAGCAGCTTATGTGTCGAGATGATCGGTTTTTAACCTAGGTAAACGGCTTTCTTCATGACTCTAAATTAAGTACATTATATCTTTTTCATGCACCATGGTCGTCCTCATAAATACTGTCAGCAGTTACTGGTAGTCTCACTTGGTTGCCTTCTCCATCACCATTTTATCATCATCCTGAGAGGAGTGGAGGATTTGTTGTATTTTAATAACAAGGAAGAAGTGGTAGCAAGGGCTTCTTTAATGAGGGGCCCACTCTGTGGTCAAGATCTCTGTTGCTGTGGATGAGATCCTGATGCCCCAGTGCCCTGGCAGTACCCCTGGGCAGGGCAGGGTGGCCTCAGTTACTTAATTACTTTTGTCTTCATTTCAAATAATTAAGAACTAACAATGTGCCCAAATTCAATTTCGACCTCAGAGAAAACCCTAGCTTTCTTGACAACTTTGACAAACACAGATTGGCATGGTTATTTTACTAGTACTGACCCTCAGCACACAAGTAAACTAATCCAATGTGGGCACATCAAGTATTGTCTGCAATGTTGCTGGCTAAAAGCTGGTCATGCAGGTGTTTTAGAAGAAGGGTCAAGTCGAGTGGCTACTCCTACTGTCCACTGAGCTAGCTTTCATTACCTGGACCCTAGGAGCCTCGTATTTGTGGACATTTGTCTCCTCCTGCCCTCATAGAAGTAGGGGGACATACTGCTCTTCACAGAACTCCCACAACCTTCCCCATCCCAGTCTCTACCCTGGGGCTGGAAGAGTGGCGTTAAATCAGGGCTGAGGAGATCAGGTTATTAAATGAGTGTGTTTCTTTACACCTGAGAGTATTGGAATGGGCTAGCTTATTCAGCAAGGTGGGCCTATGAGGACAAAAGACCAATACCTGTGGAGCATCCAGAGGTCAGAGCCAGCCCAGAGGCAGAGAATCCCAGAGCAGGGACTCCAGAGGGAACTGTCCCACAGGAACTAGACCCCCAAGGGCAAGTGGGAGGAGGTGAGTGCTGCAGGGATAGTGAAGAGAAAGCCCAGGAGGCAGGAGCAGAGAGACCAGCCATTCAGACACAGGCTCTGGTTCTTCAAACTGGTGCCATCAGTAGGTATGCTTCCAATCAGCCCAGGGAAATGTATTAAAATAGTGATCCAGAGACAATGCTTTGTGTTCTGGCCCTGCCTTCACAAGAAACAAAGGCTGATATTTTGAGAGAGATGTTAGTTTCTTCTAGGAGCTGACAGCAGTTTCCGGGGTAACCCATATCCCAGTCACCAAAATAATCTGCTAATCCAACATTCCCCAGCAGAACAGCCAGAAACACTGTGGGGGCAGGGCCTCCCACCCAGAGTCTCCCAAGGCCCAGACCTTCAGTCCTGTGTCAGTTGTGACAGGAGTTCTGCAGAAGAACCATCCGGTGCCACCGAGCATGCCACCGAGCCTTCACAGTGACAAGCGAACAATTAGTGAAGTGGATAAAGGAGAGTCACACACGTGCTTAGGAGCCACACTTCCTACACAGCTCAGAGATATTTTGACCTTCTAGTTTATTATGATTCCAGAAAAAGTCAATATTTCTTAGCTTGCCAAGGCTACAGGAATTTAAATGAGTTATTGAATCAAGCAGTTAATCTGACGACAACTGATTTTTTTTCCCTTTCAAATCTATCATGATGAAAAGCAGACTTATCCAAACACACACACACACACAAGGAATTTTTTTCCTTAGAAATTTTAATCCTATGGGGTAGTAGCCGGGGCTAAAAGTTCAGTCCTCACTGCCAGAGTCATTTTGCCTTGCTGAGCTTTTTGAAGAAGATTTCATTAAAACTTAAAGCAAAAAGTTCTATGGCCATAAGATCTGCACCCGCATTTTAATGATTTGTTTTTTGATAATTCATTTGTAATTCTCATCTTTCATTAGTTGCCATAAAGGCCACATTGGCATAAGCCTAGTTTTCTGGAATGTTATAATAAAGTGTTATGGATGCCTGTCTAGTCCTTCATCTAAGCATTGCCTTCCAGAAGTGAAGATGCCCTGGTGGCGCTGCAGGTTAAGTGTTGGCTGCTAACTGCATGCTCAGTGGTTCAAACCAACCAGCCATTCTGCAAGAGAAAGATAAGGCTGTCTCTTCCTGTAAGAATTTACAGTCTCAGAAACTCTAAGGAGCAGTTTTACTGTGTCCTATATAGAATTCTGGTGTGGTGCTGTGGGTTAATGTATCAGACTGCAAAGCAACTGTAAGGTTGGTGATTCAAGCTCACCATCTGCTCCTTGGAAACCCTATGCAGGGCCCTTATGGGTTGGAATCGACGCGATGGCACTTAACAACAACAAAAACAATATGGGGTGGCCAGGAGTCAGAATCAACTCCTTGACAGTGAGCTTTTCCCACTAATGACCCCCACTAGCAGTAGTGCTGCCCTCTGGTGGGTGAGATCTGAAAGTCACTGCCTGATGTCATTGTAGGTATGTGCTGGGTACAGGAGTGGGAGACAGCAAGTGACATCCCAGTTATGAGACCCAAAGTAACCTGGCCCTGCTCTGTCCAGACCTTCTGCCTTTGCCCTTGGCTACAGCATTGTGTTAAAAAGGGAACAGCTGCAGGTCAGTGTTGCAGAGAACCATTTTCCCCCACAGTAATAGGGAACCCCTGGTTCCCTGCCTTAGCTGCCCACCTCCCGTACCCCAACATCCAGCCTATCTTGAACACTTAGGGTACTACTATTCCACACCTCCTTCTAGACTCTGCAATGGTTCCCCAATGCCTATAACATCAGATCAGTATGCCTCTACATGCTCGCTAAGACACCAGTATCGTACCTCCCCACAACACACCCCCTGCCCTTGTGTAAAGCACCTGCTCACATCAGAATGTGCAGGTATGGGAGCCTGGCCTCGGGCCCTTTGTGTCTCTGGGAAGCCATCCTCCTCTCAGTCTGCAAGGTGCTTTGATGTGTTGCCACCTCCATGAAGCCCTCCATTTACTTCTGCAAAACATGGCTCTTTGGCTCCCCCAGCTCTTTGGCCCTCCTTCTTGGTCCTGGTTGCATTCTGTCTCTGATCAGAGTTGTATCTGTATGTGTGTACACAGAAGGGGGAAACCAGAGAGAGGGGGAAGCCCGGCTTGTTCATCATTGGGGCCTCTAACACCTGGCACACAGCCTGGCCCCAAACCATCATGCAGTGAACATTTGAAGGAAAAGAACGGAGGAAGGCACCCACTTTGTACAAAGTCTTACAGATTGATTTCAATAGACTTTCAATCCAAGAGGTTGTTCCGGGACCTGGGAATGCTGGTAGCGGGCTTTGTCCTCCAGCATCAGGCACCTCTTTGTGAGCACAGAATGTCTGATACTTTCATTTTCCAACTGGCAGCAAGAAAAGCAAGTCAAAGAAAGATCCACAATTTTATCAAAAATGTTATCAGGATGGATGGACAAGGCTTAAATCAGCCAGCCTCGAAACCTGTACTTAACATCAGGGGCTCTGAGGGGCACCCCAAGACCCCCATTAGCAGTTAGCCTTGGCCTAACAGGCAAGTGGAGTTCTTGCAGGGTCACTATTTGAAAGAGCCACCAAGGCAGCCCCTAACTTCCCACCCGCCGTCCAGTGCTACTAGTTGACCCCCTGTTTTTCTGTGCCTGACAGGGTTCCGTGGCAGGCTGCCAACCTCGTGTGGGAAGAAGCTCTGCAGCCGCGGGAGTCGGTGTGTGCTCAACAGAGAGACTGGGGAGCCAGAATGTCAGTGTCTGGATGGGTGCAGGCCCAGCTACATGCCCGTGTGTGGCTCTAATGGGCAGTTTTATGAGAACCACTGTGAGCTCCACCGGGCCGCATGTCTGTTGAAGAAGAAAATTGTCATTGTCCACAGCAAGGATTGCTTCCTTAAAGGTAGGAAGATAGTTCCTTGCTTCTCTGCTTTTGGGTTTTGTGATGGATCTTCATGACCTTTTGACCAGTGCCCTGGGTGCTGAGTCTACAAGTTAAATGCTTACAGAGCCTAGACAGAGATGAAGATGGATGTTTCATTATGAACGCTTGTCTGTTTGCATCCCATCTCCCAAAATTTCCCCGCCCTTAGAGAGAGCCCCTTGGAGAACAGAATCTAAGGAGGTGAAACTAAACCCTGGCTGGTGCAGAACACACTTTCATTAGAAACCAGACAGCAAGGTCTTGCTCGGTTTCTCATGGTGGGAGAGCCCTTGCAAGGTGGTGATGGGGAACACACTTAGCCCTCTGCACACAGTCCAATGAATCAGATTCTGTGCATAGAATATGGCCAGCTGGACACTGGCACACAAGGGTTTTAGCACAGCAGGGAATAAAACCCTGGTTTCATGGATCTATTTCCATACCTGACCTGTCCACATCAGAGCATGTCCATGGATTGGGGCTCAAAGGACCAGGCTTTGTGCTGGGGTTGAGTCATAGGAAGGCAGTGTCTGCTCCCACTGGATTGTAACAGCCACAGGAGCACCCCTGTAGGTTCACTGAGATAGTCTCAGCATTTTGCATCATGCCTTGCACCAAGATTGTGCTCAGTGACTTGCAGATGCTTGAAGACACGACAGTTAGAATACAAAGTCCCGAGGTGACATGGCCTCAATTAATGGTCGGCACTGCCATCTGTAGAAATATTTATGATCCTGAAATAAAATGACCACAGGTGAATAATGGAGGAGATGAGTAAATGGAATAGGGAAGGTACTGTGTACGTGGAATGCAGATGCGGCATGTGGGCTGATGGGACAGGTCCGTGTAGACTGAGCTAAGGGCACTTGGAATTGGAGACCCCAGCTGGGGATACACAAGATCAGAGACCTGCTTTAGGGTGGGGCAGGGAGGAGAAGAGAAGGTGTGGGATAAAGGCCCACCAGATACCCGGATTTGGATAGCAACTGACTTTTGAGCAGTCAGAATTGTGAAGGGCCTGGGTGCTAGGAGGGAAGGTCCAATGCTCCAGCCTCACTAACAGGCATTGCATCTGCACAGGGGTTAAGACAGTTGTGATGCTTGCAAATCAGGGTGATCACAGCTGTGATGATGGAACACAGGCCTTTGACCACCTGCACCCACATAATACACTCCTTTTCCCTGCCTTGACAGCTCAGGTGCCTAGAGCAGGCAGGGTGCAGGCAAGTCGTGTTTATCCCATGATGGGAATAATCTCAGACACTTTCACAACTCTGCTTATGACATGAATATGGAGGTGCTTCAGAAATCATGAGGCGCATTATGGAAATGAGGCCAAAATGAGCCCAAGAAACATTTCCCTGGCAGATCTGGAGTTGCTGCCCAGCGCGTGGCTGTGGAGTGTAGGCAGTGGCAAGCACTAAAACACTTGACCAGTTGCTCCAGCTTTATTGGCCGTGTTGAGTTTTATAGACTGGTGTTCCATTCTCTGCTTTCCAATATCTGCCAAATTGCATCTTTCTAAAGGTTTTCATTTCGGCATCAGAGTGTGCACAACCTCCCTATCACCATCAGTTATTCAAAAAGCATTTCCCATTTCACAGGAGGCAAAAACTACCCCCACACAGAGCCTACCACAGCAAGCAATGATGGGGTGGGTGGGGGAGCACTGGAGAGCATCAACCGGGGCATTGGAGATGAGGGCACCGTTCTACCTAATACTGATTGGATTGATCCAACGAATCCTTCAGAGTCATTGAATTTTTCATAGATTTTTTGCATTCTCATCCATTCAGCATGGTGGAAACTGCTTGCTCCCTCAAAGATCTCTTTGCAGAGGAGAACAGTATGAGAGCACCCCTGATCTTGGGTCAGAGAGACCTAGCTTTGCATCCTGGTTCTGCCACTTTCTAACTTTGTCACCTTGAGCAAATCACTCTACGTCTCTGGACTGTAATATGGGACAATGATTAAATGAGATGCTATATAAACCCCACTTAGCACAAAGCCTGGCATACTGTAGTGCTTGGTATTAATGATACCTTTCATCATTACTTAGTCAGATCCCGCCTTAGAACAGAGAGACACACAAATTGCAAAGGGAACATAGAGGCAGAAACCAGGCCTCAGCCCAGAAGATTTGAAGAGACTCTGGGGAACATAATAAGATCCAAGATTTAATGGTAGATGGAGAGTGGATGAGGAAGTGGCTGTGTGCTGGTCTGTGATGGTGTCCCAGAGATGTCCACAAGGCCCAGGGCTGCCCTGGCCTCTGAATCAGGACCACATGGAGAAGTTTTCCCTGTTCCATGCTGAGGACAGCTTCAGTCCCTGGCAAGTAGGCAGGCAGGATGGGAGGCAGGGCCTCCCTATCTAGCATCTGTGGAGTATGACCAGTAAAGACCTGCTCACTATGAATAGGAACTGGAAGGCAAGCCAGCCCTTAGGAATGAACACATCTCCCCTTCTCATGACCCATACAGAAAGCAGGAGGGTTGAAAACAAACCAACAGAGGCTCTGAGAGATGGGGTTCTTGGAACAGTCCCTGCACCTTCACCCTGAGCCAACAGCAGAATATTGAATACCATCTTGAGTTCCATTGATAACAATTTGTCATTTGTCTCAAGTTTCTGGGGAGTTATTGGTATAGGAATCTGAAAACACCTTTGATTCCATACACACAGAAATTCTAAAATCATTCCTCATCCGTTCTCTTTTCCTATCAGACTTTACAAAGAGAAGTTATGACCTCATTCCCTGTGCCTTTATCTGTCCAAGTCAATATTAGGACAGTCATGACGGGGCTGGAGTATTGAGCGAGGGGAGCTAGTGAATTGTTTGGAACTCACAGTCTGTAGCCAGAGCTCCTAGGCTCAAGTGGGGATGGATCTCCCAGAGCTTGGGATGGGGCTGAGGGGCACACCTCTGACACTCACAGAAACAAAGAGGCAGCATTCTAATGCCCACTTAGGAGCCCTGTTGGCAAAATGGTTAAAGCACTCGGTCCCATTTACAGGAAAACCTCTGGCTTCACATTCTTGTTGCACTTGCAATAGGATTCCTTGTTAATGCAGAATGAAATATAACATTGTTTAGGGGATCGTTGGGTCTTGAAAATCAAAGCAAAACTGAAAGCATTGCTTCAGCTCCCAGTTGCCACTTTGTTCCCAGGCTTCCCAGAGTTACAAACAGAATCTCACTTACTAATAGTCCAGACATGAAGGGATCACTCTCTTCTTCTTAGGGCCAAACCCTTAATTTAATGTCTGATTTTTTTCTCAATGCCAAATGCCACCAGAGAATACCTAAAGTTTCACAGCTGTTTTAGCTTCTCAAGGAACTGGTGTTTTGAAAAGTTAGCTTATTCAGAGTGCTCCTATTTGTGTACTAGGTGGCACTTTAAAATTCTTTTTCAGACTTGGTTTTGAGTTCACGCTTTATCTCCTACACTGTTCAATAAAATGACTTGCCTTTCAGTAATCACTCCCTTTGCCAGGGCTGTATCACACCAGATGATACAATGTCATAGTTGGGCAGTCTTCCAAACAAACCATGAAATTATGGAAGAGAAAAACCTGTTAAAGGTTCACTTTTAAACCCACCCTTAAGTTCCTCAGCCTGAATGTGGTGCTGGGGAGGTGTTACCAAGCTAATGGAATCAAAGGAAATAATTTCCATATTGTGGCGCTGTAGGATAAGCACTGGACCACAAGGTCATTTGAATCATAAGGTTGGTAGTTCAAACTCACTAGTCATTCCTCAGAAACTCTATACAGGGTTGCTATGAGCCAGAACCGATTCGACGGCACTCAATAACAATAGTAACTGTTTCACTGTGGAATCTTGTTTTCTTCAGTGTTACTGAACAGGAATAATGGTACGTTTTTGTTTCAAATGAACTAAAGTCATAGCTCAGGCTCCCAAAGATCTCTCTCTTTTTTCACTCCCTTGCTCCCTTCTCTTATTATTTTACTGCTACTTTTGTTACTTTGAGTTTTATTGCTTTTGGAATGCAAATTAAGTTCCACATCTCTAGGCATGTCTTCATTCCTACAAGCTGTGTCTGCCCTGCCAGGAAGTGCTACTCCTGTCCCCAGATGTGTCAGTCTAGTCTAGTGCTCAGCTCAGCAAGTGACTCTGCTTCCCTAGACTTGTGAGACTCCACCGGGCAGATAACGCCACTCACTCACTGCTGACTTATCAAAGACCAGGCTGTAAGTGAAATCAGCATGAAGCTGTGCCCCATTGTCACTGCTGGTATCGGCTCACCCCAAACCCCTAGACATACTGTCACTTTACTGCCCAGCACATACGCACACAGTGTCAATTCATAGCCAATCCCACACACCTTGTCACCTCACTGTGCATCAACATCCCCTACATCTCTGGATGTCAGTGGCATGACTGGCCCCTTCCCACCCCTCACCTTGGAGCCCGTGTCAGGTGTTGCCCACCACCTCCTGCTGCCCGCTGTTGGGATGGACCCTGCTTGGCCTGTCTGCCCTAGCCCCACAGCCTCTTCCCCTCCCCCCCATTACCTCCCTGGCACATCCAGTTCCTCACCAGGCCTCATCCTGCCTGTCTGTGACCTCATGTTATTCAACTATCACCCAAGCCATCCATGGACGGGGCCTTGGGTATATCATTTAGGGTGGTTTATGGAGAATGCTCTCTGCCAGGTCATAGCCCCAGGAGGAGCCACCTGCAGTGTTTTTCCAAGCTGACCTCAACGTGAACTGCTGGTTAGTGAGATAGTGAGAAGTAGGTCTATTTGAAGTGGGTCCCTGTGCAAGGAGTTGCTGACCTGAGGGATGCTGTGAGGCTGATGAGGGCCATGTGGCCCAATGATTCTAGGCATTGGCTTAGGAGTCAGCCAGATGCCCATGCTATGCCTCCTTGCATAAGGAATTTAACCTCTGTGACCACCTACCTGATGTAGTGATGTCATCGGTATTTTATGAGCACATAGTGAGTTTCT